CTCATAGCCCTAATGTGCATCCTGACCTCAAAACAAAAGAATCAGTGACCTCCGGAAGGGGTCCGACCTCCGAAGTGCTAAACCAAAAAGGTTCCAGATTATTGCTAAGGGTGTGTATTGTGGCAAGGCTGGCCACCATGGCCATCATGGTGACCACAAGTTCTTAAACTGACCCAGATGAATTACCAAATGGATGCTCAAGTCATCCAGAGCAGTCAGTTACCATGGAGAGCAACTATTTACTCAGCGTTCAGTTAAGGATTTTGACATGATATAGGACAGCTCCTATTAAATCAAAACTGACTCCTTTTCTAGACTCACAATAAATGGACACAAATTCAGTGGGAGTCATCCAATCACGAGTATCAGTACAGATGCAAGCTTAGAGGCTCCATCCAGCTTGAGGATGGTGGCAACCTTGTTAGCCCTTGGAGAGCATACATGAGATCTGTAGTGCTGGTGAGGTTATGTTGCCAAGAAAAGAATCAGGAAATGACCAGAAAAACTGATCTTTCAAACCCAGCCTTCATCTTCTAGTCAATTTAATCCTACCATGGTTCCCTTTGCCTAATACAAGAGGGACTAAGTAGCTAAAGATCTTGCAATTGATGCTACTTTCTCCTTCATAACTTCACTATTTTTCTATAAAGTGCCTGTAATTCCTTTAGTTACCCAAAGGTCATCACTGAAATGTGAGATAGCTTTGACATGTGGATAATCAAATAAGGATCACAAGGATCTCCATCCGCTTCTGGGCAGGCATATCAAAACCATTTATGGATTTCCTAAACAATCTAGAAGCCAAAAATTAAAAGTCCTCCCCCCCACCTCTCTCCCTGCTTTACAATCAGATTCAGTCTCTTCATATTCATCCCCATCACTAAAATACTACTGATGGTACCAGTAATTCCTACATGCCTTCCATTCAACAGGTCAATGAGAACATGTTGCTATTTGGATTGTTTTTAAAAGTAGGCTGCTTAGTCCTTCAGGACAAAGTTTCCAGCCGTGTTTTGTAAAGAGAGACAAGATTTGCTGAACATTCTCAAGTGATTTAAAGCTGTCTAGTAGTACATCAATGCTATTTTTGTAAACTCAAATGCACAAGTATCCCTTAAAAGAGAAGAGAAAATCGGAAAGGTTTGGTTTGCTGAACATTTGTATTTTGTACATTTTAAAGACTGCTACTAATTAAAGCTGCAGGATATCACTTGAAGGAGATTTGAAAGCTGTGGAATCATTTTTCATTCCTTCTAGGAACTTCCTAAAAAGAAGTTCCTATTTAAGTTTTCAGGATTTTTCTTTATTTGGGGGGAAAAAACTTTAGATATTAGAAACAATTTTGGAAGCTTGAAAACTACTTCCTGTGTACAGTTAAGTTCTACTAAGCCTATGGAAACTTGGATATTATATCATCCATAAATAACCTTAAAAGTACTGTTAAAATGATGAGCGTCTTCTAAGAAGCCAGGAAAAGGGACAAGCCAGTTCTGGATAAAGTTATTCAGTGAAATTAAAACCCGTTATTTTTGCTTGCATTTCTTGTTACTGATTTCCACCTGTCCAAATACTGTATTTCTAGATTTCAGACGTTTATGAATGCCTTTAGTGAACACCAAAAGGTGAAAACCTAACGTCATAGCCAGTTCCAGTTCCAAACACTTCACTGTCTCAACAATTTACAGTTAACATCTGATTTTTGTCAATGAAGTTTCAGTTTCTCTAATGCCTATAATGTATATGGTGCTGAACCTTTATGCATTTTGTGTTTTTCAAACCAGAAGCAAGAGAATTATGTTTGGGCTTTTAAAAAGTCCTATAATACTTTTCAGTTAGAAGCTGTCTCATTGAAACACTATCCTGGCTGGGCAAGGAAGAGTCAAGCCCTGTTAGAATCATTAAGAATATTCTTAATATCACTCTTCTCCTAATAACATCTAACACCTGTAGTCACAGGTTAAAAGTTTTTGGAATGAGATGAGTACTTCAGCAAGACAGCCATTCGAACAAATCACAACAGGTACTCTAAAATATGCTATGCTTCACGTACTCAAGACGATTTAAACTTCAGAAGTGAATACATTGTAAGAACTCCTCTCTCCTTTCAAGAGTGCTAACAAAATAACCAGAACTAGTGCTACCATCTGTGAATGTATACATAAGTTGCAGAAGGTAGGAAAGGCTGGAAAATGCAAGACACTCCTTGCTTTCCCCATTGTGGGGGCAGGTTGGAAGAAGATCAATCACGGAAAAAAGTTTTCTTCTGCTCTGGGCATAATGCCAGCTAGCTTTTGAGTCTCTTCAGGACACCAAACCAATCAATCAAGCCTAAGAATCTAAGCTTTGCTTATGTGCAAGGCCAGTCCTAGTAAAGCTAATTTTTTTAAATGAAGGCTTGCAATATGTTATATATTTAAACAAAGCTTGCTTTAATGGGACATCCTTAGAGTTCAATTGTTTGGTCAAATATGACACCCAACCCCAGTGACCTTTTAGTGCATTTAACCAGGAGTGAGGTGCTAATCTATAATAATTTTCCTAGGGCTAAACCCAATGATATCAGAGGACAATGCATCTTTTGATTAAATTTTCTTACATACTTGTCACTTCTTGTAAGAAATCCAGACAGGGTCGGCTACTTCCAGAAATACTTATTGAAACAGCCAGTGGGGTCTGTCCTTCATAGTTCCTTGTATTAGTGTCTGCTCCATAATTATATAACATTTGCGCGCAAAGCACATCATCTCTAAGAGCAGACAAGTGTAATGGTGTTTGTCCATCTTCTAAACGACCCAAGTTTGTATCTGCCCCTCTCTGAAGGAACATTCGGCAATAAGAGTGATTGCTTTTGATCACAGCGTATCGTAACAGGAAACCGTTCTGAATGTCGATGTTGGCATTGTGATCCAGAAGGATTTTCACGCAGCTTGACCTCTCACGAATAATGGCCAGTTGAAGCGGTGTAGTACCTTTATCACTGAGTGGATCAACCTCCGCCTTGAACTCCAGCAGGAGTCTGACAAATGAGTCTCTGCCATAGTGGGCTGCTACGTGGAGGGGAGTCCAACCATCATTGCTTTTTGCATTGATAATGTCACTTCTATACTCAGATTCCAGCATCAAGCGTGCAATCCTTGCTCGGCCATGCATGGCGGCATAATGCAGAGCAGTGAAGCCTCCAATTAAGTCCTTAACTGTGGGATCAGCTGAAGTAAAAGAATAGAAAAAACACAGTTAGACCTTAAAAGCACAAAAGGCTGATGCAAGAGAGAGTCAAATTGCACTCGATTAAAAAAAATGTATATTTCAAGCAATATTTAAAATGGTTTGACAGACTTCAAACTAATTCTTGCTTTTATGGACTAAATTCCACTAACAGAATGTCAAAAGATTTTTTTCATTAAGTGAAGGTAAGAAGTGGACTAGAACAAATGAAGTTATTTACACACACACACTCTCTCTCTCTCTCTCTCTCTCTCTCTCTCTCTCTCTTCCTACAGCTCACAAGCATCCTTAAATCAAACAGCTCAAACTTCCTGGTCCATGCAAGTCTCCTGTAGCTCTACAATATTATGCCTCTTTTTCCGTTTTATTTTTCTGTGTGCTGCTTCTTGCTCTTAAAAAGAAGCATGTGTAGCAACATCTGTTGTCCCAAATTGCGGATGTTTTGTGGTCTGGCAAGATGGTGTTGTTTTTAGGGTGTAATACTGTATTAGGTAAAAAGTTTCTCTGCGGTCTGTAGGATTTCCAAAGCATGCAAGATATATGTTATTTCAGATTATCTTGATAAACTCTGTTTTTATAGATGAAGAGTCTGTTCTGAATTTATAGTTTTTACAAAAATTTAGGATTTTACAAGAATGTAAGCATGCCATTATGAGGGAGAGGGGAAGGGGGAAAAGAAATGTCAGTAAAACTGATGGACACATTCTCCCCCCTAACAGTACAGAAATTCAAATGGATCCAAGTTTTAAAATTAAATAACCAAACTAATTCAGCTAATTCCAACACAAACTTCCCACTTCCAATTTCTTTTTTAAAGTCTTTCTTCTCACGTACATAGTCCAGTAAGTTGCCTACAGAAATGGCCACCATTCTACCACTATTTCTTACCCCGCTGGCAGGACAGGCTGAGGACCTTCTTGCCCCCTCCCTCCTTACTAGTGTTACCTAGTAACATAGGCATCTTCTACCCATTTACATTTTGGAAGCTTAAGTCCATTCCCCAACCAAAGTCTCTTGGTATGTGAAGAGAGGTACTGTCCACATAGAAAACCAGCCTTAAATTTGATACCATCTTGGCATGCGTTCCATTCCAACCCCCGCTCTACTCCCATAAATATGCTTTGGAGGAAAAGATGTGATGAGGAGCCAAAGACCATGCTATGGTATGACCCTTCCTCCAGAAGGTATAGAATCGAACAGAGCTTCTTTTGGAGGCTATCAATACTCTTCCAATGGGGATTATGTTGCCCAGGAGAAATACTCTCTTCACCTACCCCTATTGTACTGTATACATATGGCCAAATCTTCTGCTCTGTTCACAACCCTTGCTAGCCAAGGGAGTAAGAGACCAACTCTAGCCTCAAAATGGCAACATACTACACAAATGAAGCTTATAATAAAGATCCAATGCGAGGAAAAAAACAGAAGGAAAAACCAAGAGAACAAATATCCAGTCACAGAATAGGTAGGATTTTCCCCCCCTTAATATGGTTCTGAGAACATACCTGGGACTGTGCTGGGATACATCTTGTTACTAGAAATATACTGGCAAAATACAGAGTCCAGGGAAGACTAAAAAAGAGATCAGAGGAATCCATTTTTGATGGATCCTGATCCTTCCAATAATGAGAGCAGTCCTTCCCCACGCCCTCACCCCCTCTTCCCCTTCCCTCTCCTTACTTTAGTTTCTGTTTCCCTACAGGCAAGCCCGGCTTGAGCTTTGAAACTCAAAATGTTTCAAAAATTTCCATTTGCCTCGTTTCGTTTCAAGGCTGTTTCAAAGTTCTCCGTTTCATTTCGATTTTGCCGTTTCGAGTTCGAAACGAGTCGAAACAGCATCAAAATGAAACTGCCGGCCCTACTAAATATGAAAATTGAGATAATGAGTATCAGTTGCTCCTACAGTTCCTGTTTTCAGACTGCTCAGCCCATTTTCTAGGTGAGCAGTTTCCCAGCTAAAGGCTACAGCACTTAATGAGTGGAGCTGCAAGTCCCACAAAAACTGAATTATACCAGGAATGCAGTTGTCACAGAAAAAAGATTGGGAACTGCAGTCATAGACCCTGCCATCCTATCCTTCAGCTCTTCTGCAAGGCATAACAACCGCACATACATGCTGTATCTGATGGGCCACCACATCACGTACTTAAATAGGGTGACCTAGTTTAAACCAGTGGCACCCAACCTTGTATTCTTGCAGGCCAGATGTGTGGTGCAAGGCTGGTCTGTGGGCCAGATCTGATCCATGGGCCCAATCTGATGTGCAGAGCTGGCTCAGCACATGGCCCCAGCCCTCCATGCCACATCAGGTTAACTCCAGCCCCAGCCTCAGCCCCCTGCACCAAATCACACCAGCAGCCCTAGTCCCTGCATGCAGGGTCATGCCATCTAGTCTGCAGGGCTTGGAAATTTTGTGGTGGGGGTGGTGACAGTGTTAATTGCAGTTGCTCTCCATGCCAAATTTCCCGACCTATGGGATGCCCGGCAGGCCAGCCTATTACTGTGATATTACAGGTCTATGCCAGCTCTATACAAGTCAATTTGAGCAGCTGCTGCACAGCTTTCTCCCTGCCTCCCCCAACCCTGCAATGGCTCTCAAAAACAAGGGCATCCCTTTTAAAATTGCTTTACAGTTCCCACCCCGGGCAAATCCAATTGTTCCATCATAAAGACCAGCCAAGTACCAAGCTCTGTGTAAGAGATTAGTATCTCTCAGGAAGAGTGAAGAAATCCAATTAATTGTGTAAACAAGCCATGTAACTGATAAGCTCTAAGAAAGCAAATATGATGGACAGCACCATATGATAATGATATTTTAATTCCTATTAGGATTATGCTTTTTTACTGGGCCAATGATACCAATTTTCTACTCTATTAAATAGCCAGATCATTTAAACAAAAACAAAAAAACAACAAAAAAAAGGGACAGCCCCTTACTGCTCAGCCAGTGCTTTGCTGCCATCTTCTGGAGAAACTATAATGAGCTGCACAGAGTGTTTGTACCATTTTCTCCTAATCTCCAAGTACATTTAATTGCTGTATTAAATGTAAAAAGCACCTACAGTTGTATGAGCAAACTCATTAATGACAGAAAATTTGTAACCCTGGGGCAGCAATTGTTCAGTGGGGCAAAGCATGTCTTCTTTCAAGAGTATAAGTTGTTGGTCTAACATAAGCAGACAAGGTTCTTTGGGTAAATCTGATATCTTTTATATTTGGCAAAATTCTTCAAATAGTTGGAAAAATTCTTTTTTGCAAGCTTTTGGGTATAAATACCCTTCGTCAGGCTAAGGAAGCATCTGCAGCTGGCGTGTGCTCTTCCTGGATCAAATACATAGTAAAGACCAGCCTGAAGAGCCAAGGGACCTAAATAAAAAATTCACAAGGGGAAGCAGTTGCTAAGGCTTCCACGATGTTCTCAGGAAGAAGATAGGACAAACAGTTAGATACCTGAAGTGTTGATGTACTAATGCAAATAGCATGGGAAACACACAGGCAGAACTGGTTGTCCTAGTACAAATCAAGGAATTATGATGCAATTGGGATTATCGAGAGGTGGTGGGATAGTTCATGTGACTGGAGTATGGCTGTGGACAGGCTTAATTTGTTCAGACAGGGGGAAAAAGGAGGAGATGTTGCTCTGTATGTAAAGGGGATATATATGTGTTCTGATGTGCAGTACAAAGTGGAAGATGGGCATGTTGAAAGCCTCTGATGAAAGATACGAGGGGAGCAACAGCCATGTCATGGTGGGTGTCTGCTATAGGCCACCAGACCAGGAGGAAGAGGTGGATGAGGCCTTCCTTAAACGACTGACAGAAGCTTACAACTCACAGGACCTGGTTTTCAGGGTCGGGGGGACTTTCAATTATTGGGTTATCTGTGCAGAGGGAAACAGCAGTGCACAAGCAGTCCTGAAAATTATTGGAAGATATGGGGGGATTCCTTTTTGATGCAGATAGTAGAGAGACCAACCGGGTGGGGAGCTCTTCTTGACCTGATGCACACAGAGAGAGAGGAAGTGGTCAAGACTGTGAAGGTAAGAGGAACTGGGTTGACAATGACCACAAAATCATACAATTCAAGATCCTAAAGGGAAGAAGGAACAAGAGAAGCAAAATAAAGACAAGACTGCAGAAAAACAGACTTTAGCAAACTCAGGGAACTGGTAGAAAGGATGCCTTGGGAAGCAAGTCTGAGGGAAAGAGGACTCCAAGAGAGCTGGCTGTACTTTAAAGTCATAGTTTCATAGTTGGTAGGGTTAGAAGGGACCTGAGCAGCTCAAGTCTGACCCCCTGCCATGGGCAGGAAAGAATGCTGGGGTCAAATGACCCCGGCAAGGTGATCATCTATTCTTTTAAGTCCTTTTAAGGGCACAGGAGCCAGCTATTGTGATGGACCAGAATGAGAAATGTAACAGAATGCCAGTCTGGCTAGACAGCAATTTCTTCAGTGAGCTGAAACTCAAAAAGAAATCCTACAAAAAGTGGAAGTGTGGTCACCTTTATAGGGGAACAGTGTAAAAGTACTGAACAGGCATGCAGGGAGAAAATTAGGAAGGCCACAGCCTGACCTGAAATGCAGCAAGCAAAAGGCATAAAAGGCAATAAATAGGGATTCTGCAACCATGTTGAGTAAGAATAAGACCAAAGAAATCATAGATGGTTTATGGAATGCAGAAGGCAGTCTAGTTACAGATGACACAGAGAAGGCTGAAGTATTTCATGCCTTTTTTACTTCAGTATTCACAAACAGGAGCAGCTACCAGATGACAAGTGTAGTTCACAGCAAAGATAGGGAAGAAGATAAACAACCTAGAGTAATGGCAGAACAGGTTAGAGAAGCTACAGGCTTTCAAGTGAATAGGGCCAGATGGGATGGGGTGTAGAGTACTGAAGAAATTGGCCAGGGTAATCTTGGAGCCACTGGCCATCCTCTTTGATAACTCATGGGAGGTTGGGTAAGGTCCCGGATGACAGGA